CTCAGTTTCAGCAAGCAGGGTTGTGTCATCTGCATAATGCAGATTGTTAATAGATCTTCCACCAATCCTGATGCCACAGTTCTCCTCATAGAGCCCAGCCTCTCGGATAATCTGCTCTGCATACATGTTGAAAAGGTATGGAGACAGATATTCCTCCTAAACAGTTCTATCCCTCATCTGTTTCAATGCAGTATACATTATTTATCCCCTCTTTGTTTCCCCCCAACTTCGATGTCAGTCCCTCTTTACAACAGTGACACTATGCAGTATTTGTCCTTTTGTTACTGAGATATTTCACTCAGCATAATGCCCTCCAGGGTCATCATTTTGTATTTCATGAGTTCCTTGTGTTTCAATGCAGCATAGTATTCCACTGGAAAAATATGCCACAGCTTCTCTATCCATTCATTTGTTGATGGGCACTTAGGTTATTTCCAGCTCTTTGCTATTGTGAGCAAAGTTGGTCCTTGATCTACTTTGAGTTGGTTTTTGTGTATGGAGTGAGGTGTGGATCTTGCTTGAGTTTTCTACAGATAGTTTTCCAATTTTTCCAACACCATTTGTTAAAAAGGCTGTCATTTCCCCACTTAACTGATTTCATCTCCCTGTCAAAAATCAGTTGACCATAGGTAGATGGGCTGATTTCCGGGTTCTCAATTCTACTCCATTGATCTACGTGTCTGTCATTGTACCAGTATCATACTGTTCTGACCACAACAGCAGTGTAGTAGGATTTGAAATCAGGGAGTGAGATATTTCCTGCTTTGTTTCTCTTTTTAAGGAGTGCTTTGCTTATTCGGGACCTCTTTCCATTCCAAATGAAACTGGAGATTGCCTAAAACTATGGAACGCTTCACGAATTTGCGTGTCATCCTTGCACAGGGGCCATGCTAATCTTCTCTGTTTCGTTCCAATTTTAGTATACTTGTTGCCTAAGTGAGCATCAGCTGTGCTTTTTGTCACCTCACTTCTCTTCCCTCCCACCCCACCCCTCACTGGTAAGTTTTCTGGTGTAGGGAATACGTTTTTGTTGTTGTTGAGTGTCAATGAGTTTAATTCTGAGTCATGTAATTGCAACTCAGAGAACTGTCATATAGTTTTCTTGCTTGTGGTCTTTACAGAAGCAGATCACCGGCTCTTTCTTGTGCAGAAGAGGTGAATGGGTTCTAATTGCCAATCTTCTAGTTAACAGGCTAGTGTTTTATATCTAGGGATACATGTAATGTGACAGATATTACCACTCTTGTTACACCTTCTGGCTCTCAACATTAATAAACATTATATATCAGGAAAAATTTGGTGAGAGCAAGAACCTATCTCCCTATAGAAAATCACCAGATACTTGGGGACTTCTTTGCAGCTAAGGCATTTACACATTTACTTCAGTTCTTCTAATCACACTATGTTGTCAAAACCCTTGAAAACTGGCTTTTCTAGTCAGTGTGTTAGCCTCTGTTAGGGGTATGGTCTCCAGCTACTTTAATTGTGGACACATGGTCTTGCAAATTATCAACTGCCTTGGGACCAATATAAGAGAATGCTTTCTACACTGTGTGAGGAGAACCTTGGAGATGGAGCCACAAGGTTTTACCTGCTGGATGAGTGAATGAAAAGCTGACTTGTAACTGTTCTGAGATAAAGTTTGCTGGACTAATTCAAGAAACCAGAGGTAT